CATCCTACAGACGGACTGGGCGTATGAAATCACTTTACTTTGTACGCGCCTTTCTCCCATGTGTGAGGGAGCGTATATTTGCCAGTAAATTTGCAACAAGTAATGAGGTTCCTGTCAAAGTCCGCCAAGTGCAGACAAGTACGATTTTCCTTGCCCCTGATTTGTCGAGTGTAACTTCTGTGTCAATTATTTGGCGGAAGTAGAAAAGAATACAATATTGTGTTGCGTCCACGTGTTTTTAAACTACTTGGCCAGAATTGAGCGATGTATACAAACAATTTTTTTAAAGCAGAAGATATACATTTAATAAACAAATTCCAACACTCTCGTACAAAATATGAAACTTCAACAATCAAAAATTTTAAGGCGATCGATAATAAATAAAACATTCGTATATGTTTTTTACCAGCAGAGAGCACATTTTTCATCTACATTGAAATTGTAATATTTTCGTATATACGAAGTCGTCTTTAAAAAGAACTGTGTGCTCATGGTCTAAATGCCAATACATATTTGTCGGTATTTTTTAGAAGAAATGCATAATAAAAACTTTAAAAATCCTCTTGACAGGTTTTAATTGCAATACCATTAATTAATTGTGTCAAAATAGTACACAAAATACTAGATACCTTCACAAAAAATCTGATATCTTGAAAAAACATTATTTGTAATCCCCAAACAATCGCAGGTTTTAAGTACCCTTAGGATACCGATTGCAGCCCTCCTTGCCGCGGGGACACGCGGCCACCCACGTATTCGCCGTCCGCGGCTTGGGCGAAGGGAGGCGGCGGGGCGGGGGGCGCTTGCGTAAATCAAAGGCCTGGCGTCCAGCGCTAAAAGCATTCCGATGTCCGCTGCGCGAACGAGCCTAATCTCTCGGGCGACGCGGCGGCGGCGGCGGCGGCGGCGTTAACGCCTCGGTGGACGCGTCACGGCCGCGTCGAGCTCCCCCCCCCCCGCGCGAAAGATGCGTTGCCCGACGAGCGCGAATTACGTGTTTACTCTGTTATCTAGCCGTTTGCTCTGTTGATAACGCTCGCCAGTGGTACGCGAGTTGGAGAGTGTGAAGGTGCTTCGTGTAAAATGAGCTCGTTTACAGATGTTGCTTCAAATTTAAAAAAATTTACAGATGTTGCTGTAAATTTGAGCTGATATTTGACATGTTTATGTTGGATAAAATGGTCATGCAAGCAAATATTATCTCGCACTAAAGTTTATATTATTACTGATAGATGAATCAAAATAATGTTTTGTAGTTTAATCTCTCATTCTTTTTCCGGTGATTTTATATTTTCTAGATTTGTTATGAATTTACATTTAGTGTAGGTCACACGCATATTAGTTACACCGAAGTGCATGCAACTTTGTCCACTGCTCATTCTCCTTGCGCGAATTTCGTTTAGGAATATCGTACTCGGCAGTATTTCTTTCCTTCTTTCCTATTGTATTCGAGCAGAAAAGTCCTTTCTCTGTAATTCCTCCTGACACTTCACTCTCGTTCTGTCGGGATTGGGAAATAAGTTCTCTGAAAGGGAGAATGTTCGCGCTTTGCTTCTTTTGGGATGCAAATTCCGTTCGGGCCGCGCATTTCGCCCGCATTTGTCCATGTCGCTAAGGCGGCGCCTACGCGCGCTGTTCTGTCGACGCAAGCCGCCGCCAACGCTGCCCACCTCCCCAACTGTTGCCACTGCCACCACAGCCGCAACCGCCGCCGCACCGACCCACGCCACAACCGCCACCACCACCACCACCACCACCCACCGCCGCCGCCGCCGCCGCCGCCTCAACCGTCGCCGCCGTGGCCGCCACCATCGCCTCCGAGTCACCTGTCACTAGGCTCTTGATTTCCACCCATATCACTTTTCACTGTTTTTCCCATCAGCGGTTTGCTTAGCCATGTCCAGTTGCCGTTACTTCCTCTAATGATAAGGCACATTGAACGCAATGCCTTGACACCCCGGCACACACGCCTTGACACCTTCTGCCAAACATTGTCAACGTTTGTTCAACAGAAATCATAATCACCTCCTTCTTCAATCACGGACACTGCATAACTCACTCAGAGATCCACTCTAACAATAGTTAGAGTTTAGAGTTTCTAGTTTTCTAGCTCTAGTTAGTTCACACCATTCTGTGCACCTTTTTTATTTCCATCTCTATTGCCAATTTTCTATGATTATAATGCTATGTCAGTTTCTGGCATTCATCAAACGGAACCAATCAAACATATACATAAAAGCTTAAAAAATAAAATTCTCAAACAGCTGTTGAAATACTCTCGCTGTTGTTTCTCTTGATTGCTATCAAATTCCTTCTGGTTTCAGTCATTTCACTGCCTTCTCACCACTCCAAAGAAAATTAATGCTGCATTATCAACACTGTATCGCCATTCGCATTCCATTTACTTTCAATGTCAATGCCAATGCCGATTACTATGGCACCTCACTCCCTCAACCCGACACTACATTCATTCATCCAGCCTCCGTTCTCATCGCCATCTCCTCGCCCCTACAATCACTTCCATCAGCGTCACCTCCTCCATCATCGCCTCACCCCCGCCATCACCGCCGCCGCCGCCGCCGCCCCCGATCCGGGTGCGTGTGCAGACGGCGACTAATGACGCACATCCTGATCGGACGGAATAACTTCAGCAAGTCGACACAGATCTGGGTTGAGACTTCCTTATTGCACAGGAGCACCCGTCCCTGGGCGAGCGAGCAGGCGAGCAGCTTTCCCGGCCCGCAGCTCCACACATGCATCGCTCCGCGCCACGCCACGCCGCGCCACGCCACGCCGCGCCGAGCCTTATTTTTTTATTCCCTTCTTGGCTGCTCGTCGCCGCCGCCGCCGCCGACGTTGGATTCGTTTTTATCGCTCCGTGTTTTTTCTTTGAGCCGCGCGCGCGCCCGCCGGTGGCCGTCGGCGTGGCCAATAAGTTTCACAATACCAAATCTGAATACAATGAACTGCTGCATACGCCGAACGCGCGCACCAAAGCAGCTTCCTTGCGCTTTCATGTTGCCCGAGAGCGCTTACAATTCACTCTTTTAAATATTACGCCGCGGATGACAACCGTGCGCGAGGGTCTGGCGAGGGACGCAGCCGCCGGGGGCGACGGGGCGGGGATAAAGCAAGGTCGGGCGGGGTGGGGGCGGAGGCTGAAGAGAATGGGAAGAAGGCGCGGGAAGGAGGAGAGTGATGGAAGCGACGAACGGTTGTGGGTGGCGAGAGCGAAGCAACTGGTGCAGAGTGCTAGATACGAGCTTGATAGGAAGGGTGTCGGCGGCCAGGCAAGCGAATCAACTTCAATCAAGCTTCTGTGGAGTAAAGTTCAGATCAATGACGTTTATCTTAACCTTATCTGGATGGGACACGAGTCGATCAAGCCACGAGCTCGGGAATTTGGTGAAACTGCGAAGAAGTTAAGCTGGTGAGTGGATGTGGAAGAATGTAATTGGTTGTGCGTCTGGAACGGAAGGGAAAGCTATGATTAATTCACAGATAATATGACGGAACAGTAGAAATGATGGAGCACGTGAAAAACACTTGGTGTTGGTACTGTGGAAGCTGCGAGGATGCGATCTCAAAGAAATGTTAATGTTAGGAGCCTCTGAAAAAGCCAAGTCACGTGAATTGAGAAATTGGGAGAGGCAGAATAGCTAAAATGGAACTCGTAGGAATAGATGGAAAGGAACAGCTAGCGACAGCGCGTTTCAGCGCAGCAAATACGAGCGGCGTGGGTGATGTTAGATGCCGAGTCTGTAGCGGTGGGCGTTGGTGGTAGGAAGGAATGAAACTTGGGGGAGACGATCCTTTGTGTAGGCGTTGCACCGCCTCAACCCTCGCAGCCGCCGCCGCGGTCTCTTTTATGCCCGCCTTTAGAAGGTAGTCACCGGGAAATATGGATTTCTGTCACCCGTGGGGGATGCGAATACCCCCTGCGTTTCCTTCCCTGAGAACCGTATTCAGATCAACATTAAAAGGGGCCTCCACAAAGCCTGTCGCAGGGTGCGTTTGGAATTCTCCTGTGCGCTTCTGCTACCGGAGGCAGTGAATCGTAATTTATGTTGAACTTGCTGTATCAAAACGTCCCACGCAAGAGCGTCTGGGAATTTTGAAGGAGGAAAAAAAGAATTTCAGAGCGAACGATTTATGATTTGGTGAATTGCGTTCGGTGAGTTATGTGTTTCGTGGTCTCATACTTCGTGATTCGTGCATCTCGTATTCTGTATCTCTATTGCCTTTTGAATAAGTTCTCGTTTTAAGGTAGCTTCTTTTCTCCCACATAAATAATTCCGAAAGTTCAAAGTGCTCTGTAGTCCAGCTGCTTCATTCGAGGCACAGTAGGGACAGATAAAATGAAAAGCGGCTTCGAATATTCCAGAGCTCCCTGGTCATACTATTTACGATGTAGTTACTTCCATTCATCAGTGTCAACTGTTACCATCAGTTCATTAAAATATAGACATTATTATTTATAATACTTCCCACAAAAATTTGAGAAACTTAAATAAATTGCATGTATTAAAAATATAACTAAAATATTTTCATTTACAATATTTTTAATTTTGTTGAAGAAATATTTGGACCATATCCATTGTTTACGTCTGAACAATAAATGTAGTTTTACCGCCCTCAGCGTCATATACTATATAATATATTGACGTAATAAATTATTACATTCAATATCTCTTAATGTTCAATGTGCCCTTGCTCCCAAACTGCTGACTCAATGAAGTGGTGACTCATGACACGGTGCAATCGGGGAATGAGATTCAAGGGAAACAGGAATACCCTGAGAAAACCTGCCGCCAATCCACATTTTTCAACAAAAATGTCACATGGATCGAGCCCCAGCCGCAGAGGTGGGTGGCGAAAGGTCTGATCGCCACTTCACGGGCCGCCCAGTGAATTATTATAGTCATTTACAATTATTATTTCCGTATGTTACATGAAGTCTATAAATCGAGATGTCTAATGTGTCTGCATTTTGTCTCCAGGGTCTGCCACTCCACCTGCAAATCGACACCTACGAAGACCCGCGAGACACGACTGTGGCGCACCGCGGCTACTGCCAGATAAAGGTGTTCTGCGACAAGGTAAGTACAACTTCTACAACTACTTCTAGTTTCGCCTTGGGTAGCTGCACCCCGCCCTCCTACGCGCTCTGCGGCGACATGACAGCCGACACCTGGCCGCTCTCGCGGGAGCACGCGCTCAATACGGAGGCCGCCGGCGTCGCGTCGGCGACTGCTGCGCCTAGGCCGACCTTCGGCGACACCCGCCGACGGCGTTGCGCAACCTCAGCGTGTGCGCGTTCATTAATTGACACTCGGTTTCCCATTAGTCGTGTTCTTCCCGAATTGATTACTTTGCGACTTCATTACATTTTGTGGTCTTGGTAACTGCGCACTGGCATCTAGTTATGATAACATAATTGTAAGTTAATTAACATATCTCCATTTTTGTTTATTCTATCTAATTAGTGAGCAGTATCAAAACGAAATTTTTATTCTGAGCGTCAGTTAAGGTGTTCTGATGGATAAATCACTCACGTTTTAAATTTTGCGCCACAAGTTATTGCCAGTTTTAAATAATTAATGCCGTTCTAGCGGCCCTTATGGAGGGACTATAATTTTTCTAACATTTATGTAATATTTTGTTCGTATCCTAATTATTCCATCGTTCATTGCCTAAGATTCTCACCGATTACCGGAATTTTGAGAATTATCGCAATATCTATTACAAAATCGAGCTCAGTTCGCTGGAACTATTTCTCCCTGCGGAAAACAAATTACTTGCACATGTCTCTCTGGATGATGCTTAACAGAAAAACATTTTGCCGTAGTTTCGCAAATTTCGAAGCTGGACAAGGTCGGGCGAACTGAGCGGAGCGGAGTAGGGCGAAGCGGAGCAGAAGGAAAGAGGCCGGCCCAAGGGACGACAAATTGGAGCGGGGCTTCGGCGGCGCGAGCCACGCGCCCCCCGTGCGTGTTTGTTTTATTAACAGGAAACGGCTGCCATTTACGCGGCTTTAGGAGAATCACGCGACCGCCGCCGCCGCCGCCGGAGATTAGACGATACGCGGCTTGCGCATTGCGTAAGGCCAATTAAGGCGCCGCTTCCTCAGAGTTCAGGGTTGCGCCGCTGAGTGGCGTGTTGGGGCGGGGAGGGATTGTGGATGGGGGTAGTGAGGTGCAATAATGAATAAAGTGAAGTGAGCGCAATAGAAGTGTTTGTTGGAACAGTCACGAAAAATCGTGGTGTGGCGTGGGGATTTGGATTAAACGTGAACATTTTTTGCTGGAGAGATTGGAAGCGTAGAACTGCTTCATTTTTGGAAAGTACAGAAATTGTACCGGGAACAAATTATGCCTATGGTTATGTCGAGTAACATGGGCTATAAACAAGGCCTTGAGAAGGCTTGCGGTGGCGTCAACCAGACCCTTGTGGTTCGCCGTAGTGGAAGCGTACGGAATGACACTACGCAACGACGCGGCTCCACGCCGTTGGAACGTCTGGGTCGCCGAGGTGTGGCGTGGAGCGGTAGGGGCGAGCTGGGGGCAAAGTAGAGCATCGCGAGACACTCAACGCGCAATTACCGTGGGTCCTCCTGCGATTTCGGGCCCCGCCGCCGCAAGAAACGGGTCGCAATTTGATGCACAAAAACTTTACGCCCGTGACCAGAACATTCCAGGTCTCGATGCGGGGTGTTGGGGGCTAACCTCCTCGGAATTGGTATGTTAGTCAGAGAAACCTAACGGGAGTTTGTGCGAAATTTGGGAAGAAGTGCCATAAACTCGGAAATACACCGCCTTATCGAGAATGAATATGTGACTCGTTTTTTTTCGTTAAATGCTTGAGCGTCTTTTCTGTGTTTCCTGTTGACCTTGTCTACATGCTCTTTGCGTAAATTGCTCGGTGAAATTTTAAACGTCACGTAATGCTTCGCGAACTGTTTAACAAAAATAAGCACCTTGCAGACTGGTACGTGTTTAGATGCAAATGAGGATCAGTGTTTACATAGGACTTGTCCATTATATTATTAAACTTAAAAAACGTGTCATTAGCATTTTCAATATGTGGAAAATGAAATAAAATAGAATATAATATTACACCACTTTTCTGTACTGTCCCTTCACCATACCAGAATTATGGTTCTCGTCTCTCGCTATCTCTTTATTAGTTACCTTGATAAAAACTCGAGTGTAAGTGAGAATCTAAAGACGAAAGTATAACACAAGGTGCATCCTACCTGACTGGAACGCATAATCGACCCCATTTCTTTCCCCTGACAGCCCAGTATTTTGTCTGCCTGACGCTTAGAGTTGCATGCAGGTGGGCGAGAACGCTGCACACAACTTTTGACTGGCTCAAAAGAACTCGTGCGTCTTACTTTCTTTATATCTTCGTAATCAATCTTTACTTAACATTCGCCGTATAAAAATGGCACAGACGTTTTGCTTGGGAGATAACAAAAGTGCTGGCCGAGCAGGACTTTCACACCATTTTTAGTCTTACAATGAATGAATGTATATATTACTAGCGTTGTGTATAATAACCCATAGAAAGTAAGTGTTAAGTAAATATTTCCGGAACAGAAAATAATGAAGCCGAATGTACACCAACACCGATGAACAATATTATTGCGTCACTATCAACCGCGATTCATTTTGCCCTGAAGACTGATATGGTAATGAAAGATAAAGAGTTGGTGTTTTTGCGAAGAATACGGCGTCACCGTGACATCATAGGTACACAAGACCATAGTACGTCTTGCACTGATAAAATTCGCATCTCCCCTGGGAACACTTCCCGACGCACCGCAAGAGGCCCACAGCCATACGCTACGAATCACTGGAAGGCGCTCGCCGAGGCGAGCAAGAGGAAAAGTAATTCGTAAGCGAGCGGCGGCTGCGGCGTGGGCCGCGATAAAATCAAATTAAACACGCGCGAGGCGGCGCTGGCAGCGGCCAAGCGGCAGCGGCATGTCGGGCAAGCGGCGGCGGGCGGGTCCGGCGGGCGGGCGCGGCGGCGGAGGGCGGCGGATGGCGGCTTTCCCGAGCGGCAAGGGACCGACGGCGCGTGTAATCGGGGCACCGAAGGGGGCCTGACAGGTGTCAGGGGCGCGCGCCGCTCCGCCGCCCGCCGTCGTGCACTATCGCGCTGCCCGTCACGTCGCTGGCCGCTGCTCCCAAAGGCGCCGCCGCCCGCCGCGCCGCCAGGCCGCAGTGCTTGCCGCGCGGTGCCCACGTGCCCGCTGCCGGATCTGACGGGAGGGCGGTGGTGACGCGAGAAATGAAACTTTTAGAACGGGCGGTTGCTGGTTTTGAGAGCAACGGTAGAGCTTACCCTCACAGTGGCACTAGCAACGACCGCAACATGCGCGGGAGAGCGGTCGGGAAGCTTAGAGTCTTGCTCGGCTGGAGGCGAATTCCCGATGTGGTGGGAGATACCCGTTGGGGAATAGTCCCGCTAGCCGACTGGATAGGTCGGCGGCCGGATCAACGGCATGCGTCGCAGTGCGGGGCAAGATGATGACACGCGCCACGTGCTGAGCACAATCAAACATGGCTACTATGTCGTACGGAACGCAATGACCTTAGCCGGTTGATGGTGCGCCCGGGAATCAACCAGACAACCACACTAACCAAACGAAGGTGGAGACGATTGTCCACAAGCAGGTGAAAACTGTTTGGTGGGGCGGGGGGACGGGTCAAAGAGCGTCGATGGTGGCGGAATGTGAGTGATAACGGGGACGTCGGGACCTACGGTGTTTGGCGTGACACAATGGCGACACGACGCCCGGGAAGGCGATGGCGTAGATGATAATTTCTGGCCCTGGTGGGCGAAGTCAGAGCGGTTGCCGAAGCGATGCCACAAGTGCAAGGAAACAGTCTAGGATATGTAGTCCGAAAGGACGTTAGAATCCTACAGAGAGGAAATGGGAATGTAAAGAATGCGATTTTTCTAGTTTCGGCCACGTGACAGCGAGGGTTTGGGCGTGGGAAAACTCATCGCGGACCTGTAAATAGAGCGAAAGACCTAGCTCATGAAAGCAGGCAGATGCTAATTGACGACCGTGATATAAATAAGTGGAGCGTAGGAAATGTGCGCTGCGACAACCGCAAGGACTGACCCAGGGGCGCACTAAAGTATAGAGAAAGTTTGAAAGGGGCGATGTTAGTTTTATCAAAACCGCGGAGCATATACAAAAATCTCATTCTTGGTCCCAACAGTACTTTTTTCCTCTTCTCCCTTTGAACGAGGGCGTATCTTCTCTTATTCCTCCTTAGTGTTTATTCGAGCCAGTTGCTTTGATTGCCCCCCCCACCGCCGGCTCTTGTATAAACAGTAAGACTGCTCTGCGGAGGGACGGGCCAGGTGTCTTGACAGCGATCCCCGGCGGCGCAGCAAGGGGCGTGGTCGGCTGGGCGGGTCGGCCGCCGCCCCGCCCCGCCGCCCACTCCGCGCCCGAATTGCCCTCCCGCCGCGCGACCCCATCGCGCGCGCGGACGCGGCCCCGCCCGCCGACACGCCGCCCGCGCCGCCCCGCGCCGCCCCGCGCGCGCCCCGCGTCCGACCACGCGAGATGGTAATTCGCCGGCGGACGGAAGCTGAGCATGGATCCACGCACGTGCTGCGCCGTCCGCCGCGCCACGCCCCACTCCACGCCCGCCCCAAGACCTCGCCGTCGCCGCGCATTCGCCCTTGGGGGCTGTTCCATCTGCCGCTGCTGCCTTCCGGCGTCAGCTCCCCACACTTGCTCGCTCCTGCCCGCAACTTCTTCACCATTCTCATCGAAACCACATTGATCCGCATTCTGCCATTAATCGCCTAAACTCCAATTGGCCGTAGTCGTCGACTTTTATCGATCGCCTAAAACCACCTTCACTTGCACGTTCCCCTCCACCATCTCCGCCACTCACACCGGCTCCGTTCTGTCTCTCAGACTCTCCGCTCCCCTGCACCCACGCCCCCTTGCAACCAGCCGACTTCCTCACAACCACCCACACACATGTACACTCGTGTACGTTCTCTGGCATCTCCCCGCCCTCGCCGGAGGCACGACTTGACGCATGGTCGCGGAATTTACTCA